ACATGTGTTGTCTGTCCTGTGACCTAGAAAAGATAAAGATGTGACACCAAAAATGCATTTGCTGGAATTGATTTTAATCCAAAATATTGCAAACGTTGTAGAACTGTCGGATGTGAGACTCTTGTTCTGTTTCATTGGTACTAGCTATAAGTACATCATCTATGTATGTGCATACAAAATCTAGTATGCAAAAACTTTGTCTATGAAATGCTGAAATGTTTGTCCTGCATTTTTGAGACCAAAAGGCATTTTTTAAAAATTTGAAAAGTCCAAATGGTGTTATGGCTGTCTTTTTGATGTCTTCTTCAGCCACAGGAATTTGACATAAGTTCAGTATAGAGCTATTTTATAGATCTATTTTATAGATCTATAGTTATAGATCTATTTTATAGATCTATAGTTATAGATCTATAGTTATAGATCTATTTTATAGATCTATAGTTATAGATCTATAGTTATAGATCTATACTTATAGATGTATTTTATAGATCTATAGTTATAGATCAATAGTTATAGACATCTGTGGCAAGTGATAGTCAAGTTAATAAAGACCACTACTCTGATATATTAGTCTTTGTTTTAAAATTCATTTTGAGTAGAGTGCGGTATGTGTGACTTAGCTAAATGAAAATTGGTATGTAGTTAGAGATATATGTTTTCTAATAATTGTATAAATTTGGCTTTAATGCGTTACCTTTATGTGTAAATTGTGTTTTTCTACTACAATATAATAGATAGATAGATAGATAGATAGATAGATAGATAGATAGATAGATAGATATGAACAGAATAAGATAGATTGATAGATAGATAGATATGAACAGAATAAGATAGATAGATATGAACAGAATAAGATAGATAGATAGATAGATAGATAGATAGATAGATAAGAATAAACTGAGATAGTGTTGTGGAGATGAAAACACTCCTCACCCAAATAGCATATATATAAATCATCAGGGGAGAGCTAACTGGGATAAAACCTTATATCCTTACTAGAGAATTCAGTAAGACTATGTCAACTCCAAGCAACATTATATTTCATAATTGTGGTATCTTCATTCAATGGAATGTAGACATAGATAGATAGATAGCTAGATAGCTAGATAGATAGATAGATAGATAGATAGATAGATAGATAGATATGAATTGAGACAGATAGATATGAATTGAGATAGATAGATAGATAGATATGAATTGAGATAGATAGATAGATAGATAGATAGATAGATAGATAGATAGATAGATAGATAGATAGATATGAATTGAGATAGATAGATAGATAGATATGAATTGAGATAGATATGAATTGAGATAGATAGATAGATAGATAGATATGAATTGAGATAGATAGATAGATAGATAGATAGATAGATAGATAGATAGATATAAATTGAGATAGATAGATAGATAGATAGATAGATAGATAGTTGAATTGACTGAGAGATATGAATAATAGATAGATAGAGAGAGAGAGAGAGTGAGAGAGAGATATGAATTGATTGAGATATCGATATGAATAATAGATAGATAGATAGATTTGAATAGACTGAGATAGAAAGAGATATTAAGTATCATGAAAGCAATAATGGAATGAAAAAAACTCAGAGCTATGTTATTGAAGCTTTTACTGAGGTTTATTTAGTAAAACCATTAATCCAGCAAACCTTTGGAACTATTCGTGCCAGAAAATTGCTGCTGTTGCCATAGAAAACCAAAAAAAGCACTATGTGAGTAAATGTTATTCCAGAAACATAGTTACCACAAAAACTTTGGCCTCATCGAGTAATGCATCAACTTTCTCATCAAAGAATCAACCCCTATAATTAGCTTATTTCTTGTCAATTTATTTTGCCCCTAATGCTTTGCATCTTGTTTACATCCCTAAAATATGTATGAAATGCACTCGGCATAACTAAGAACAACAAGCACCTCTTAACTGATCTTGACTGAAGCTCCTAATTGGTTATAAACTCTTCTCAAAATACTTCAATGATTCACGCAGTTGCAGTTCATGAACTCACAAGAGTTTCTTCAAATTCTGTTTTGCTTGAAAGCCAAAATAAATATGATCAGAACATTGTGTTATAATGGCAGAATGGTGAAATCAAAAAAAGGCTTCAAATTCTAAGGGCTCTTGAAAAAAGGGGGTACATATAATCTCAGGAAAGCAAGTTAGAAGTCTTTTTATTTTATAAAAAGAAAATAGAAAGTCTTTTATCTTTTTATTAAATATTTATATATAATTCTTCAAATACCTATAATATTTCTTGAGTTCGCATATGCATGGCAGCAGATATTTGATAAAGCACATCTTAGTTTAGGTTGGTTGGTTTTAAGACAGGTCAACCCTTTATATTATTTACATTGTTTAGACCGTTATCCTCATCTTTGTTGCCATATTCACAATGTTTTAGCTGTTGTATGCTCCAGCCTTCTTCAGGTGACTGGCATTTTAAACCTAACTCTTTATTTCATCCACCAGGGTAGATTGTTCTAGTTACTTTTTTTAAACAGAGTATATATATATATATATATATATATATATATATATATATATGAAGTTACATCCGTAGCACACATGCACAAATGGCTGAACTGTATTCAGTAAGAATATTTTATTCTAATATTCAATTTTGTGGGGAGAATCTAGTGAACATGAAAATCATTTGAAATCATTGGATTACACCTTGCTTCAAACATCAACCATTGACAGTAAAATTTATAAGTTGATATACAATATTTGTTTCTAGATAACTTCCTAAGATCTTAAAAAAAATGCAAGAACAGAAGTTATGCTAACAATTTTTTTTATATTTTTTTCAAAATTGCTCAAATTTAAGACAAATATTGCAATCAAAATGGGATTCTCATGCTATACTTTTTCATAAGAAGCAGTAAAACTAGAAACCAAGAAATCAAAAAATACAGTTTAAAATTGAGCATCATTCTTAAATAATCTATTTTAAAAAAATAATTCTGTTTTATCAAAGTATTGACAAACTTTTAACCAGATATTCAGAGAAATCAAACTAAAACTGAAGTATTTTCAAACTTAAAACAATATTTTTTCCATGATTCTTTTCTACCCTTTTCTGAACTAAAAGCTCTAATTCAAACTAATGAATTATATTACTTTATTTTAAGGCTCAAATTGAAACTAATGAATTATACATTCTTTTAAGGATCAAAATCAAACCAGTATACATTCCGAAAAACATTCTAATTCAAACCAATGAACTAAGCATTCTTAAAATGCTCAAATTCAAACAAAATGAACTATATATTTTTAAAAGGTTCAAATCATTAATTAAAAAGCTAAAAATTCAAACCAGTTAACTATACATTCTTAAAATGCAAAAAATCAAACCAATGAATTAAATATTCCTCAAAGGCTCAAATCATTCTTAAAAGTCTCAAATTCAAACCAATAAATGGAATATTCTTTAAAAATTCAAATCATTCTTTGAAGACTCAAATTCAAACTAATGAACTATAAGATTCTTAAAAAGTTCAAATTCAAAGCAATGAATTAAACACTCTTAAAAGGCTCAAATTCAAATCAGTAAGCTATAAGTTCGTATAAGACTCAATTTAAAACCAGTGAACTATGTTTGATTATGCCACCTTTTTTATTCTTTTCCCAAAAAAAAACAAAAATTAAAGTTTAAAAATAGTAAGTTTAGAAAGTGAGATGCCTCATATATTGTTAACTGATCCTGTTTCTTCTTCTTAAAAGTACAGAATTAACGTCTAAAGAACACAAGATGCCCTTGTCATCACTTGATTCCAACCCCCCTATCCCTAACCCCATCAACTCCCCAGAAATGTGGGTCCTTTTAAGAATGAGAGCTTATGCTTTGCTGATGTCTGATTTTGAGAACTAATTCAATAAGGATTAAGATTAAATTCTAATATGGTGCTGACCTGAAGTTACTTGAGTTGGTTTATTTGTTGCTAGTACCTAATTTGTCGGCTCATCGACTTGGCTTGTTTTAATTTGGTTCAGCTTCATTATGTGGGTTCCTTTTCACTTCCAAACAATACCACCCTACCTCTGGAACAGCTCATAAACTAGAGAGAGGAAAGGAAGCATTGTTTTGAAAAAAGGGGGCCAGTGGGTAGAGAAGGCTTGGTCAGGAATTCATCTTTTTCTCTCTCTCTTTCTTCTACAATAAAATCTCTTATTTTCTTTCTTCGCTGTCAAATAAAGATAATTTGTACTCCCTTTTATTGTTTTCATTATTTGTTCATTACACTGATCAGTAATTGGACTTCTCAGTATGGTTCACTTTCTTTGCATATGTTTTTCTGTCTTCTTCTTCTCTCTCTCTCTCACACACACACACACACACACACACACTCTCTCTCTCTCTCTTTGTCTCATGTTTTACTATGCTTTATATAAGAAAATAGTACCAAACTTTAAAGAAAGAAGGAACAAATGGAGACTAATAAAAACAGAGCTGATTCAGAAAGAAAGAAAAAATAAAAACTAATGAACGTAGAAAGAAAGAAAGAAAGAAAGAAAGAAAGAAAGAAAAACTAATAAAGAAAAAATAATTTTGAGGGAAACAGAAGAAAGTAAAAAGATAGAAGACTAATAAAGACAGAATTGATTTAGAAAGAAAAAAGTAAAAAAATAAATAATGATGAAAGAAAGAATTCTGAAAAAGAAAGAAAACTAATGAATTTATAATTGATTTGGAAAGAAAGAAATAAATAAAGAAAGAAAACTAATGAATGTATAATTGATTTGGAAAGAAAGAAAGTAAGAAAGAGATGATTAAAAAAGAAAGAAAAATAATGAAGGTAGGCTTGATTTGGAAAAAAAGAAGTTCTTTCCATCTTTCTTTCTAAATCAATCCTACCTTCATTATTTTTCTGAACAACTAATAAAAGTATTATAGTCTTATTATTTATTTTTCCTTCTTGACTTAGAAAGAAATTACAGAAAGATAAAAAAATTCATTGTTGTAAAAATAAAGAATGAATATTTTATGCATTCTCTTCAATCCTGTCTCTATTTTAATAAAATAAAGAATTCATGTACATTTGAGTTTAGAAAAGAAGACAAAAGATAGACAGAAAAAAGTAATTGCAGGTGAGGTTATGTAATAGAATAGAGGAAGAATAATAAATAAAAAAATATAAAGGAATCATGAAAATTAAATGTGAAAGTGAAAGTGAAAGTAAAGCTTTGAATAGTCTGGATGCTATTCAAAAAGATGAAAAATAAAAGATAGTTGTAATAAAGAGAAAGCGAAAGTAAGGAACAGCCAAGATAACAAATCAGACAGCAAGTTTTCTTGGCCATAGCACATTTTCTCTGCTCTGGTTCCCATATCAAATATTTTTGATCTTAATCTGTCAGGGGTGAGTAGTTGGTAGGGGTGTGGTTGCTGGAACTTTGTGACCCTTAAATGAAATTGTGTTTCGCATTTTTCAGAAAGTTTTGATGAACCTCGATCTCCATTTGTGAATCATCTTATTAGCTTCATTCTCTTATTTCCAGTTTTCCCAATCCCATACTCTCTCTCTCTCTCTCTCTCTCTCTCTCTCTCTCTCTCTCTCTCTATTATTCTTTCTCTCTCACTATTTCTCTTTCTTTATTTACATCTCTTTGTCCTTCACTCTGTTTTCTCTCTCTTTCTTTCTCTCTTTATTTTCTATACTAAAGTCTTTGGTTATTTCTCACCTAACAAGAATAAAAGGAAGTTTTATTTACTTTGCTTTATATTGGAAAGAAGCCTTGTTTCAAACCTTTTACATGCTGATAGCCGTTTCATTTTTAAAAATTCTCACACTAAAAACAAAGAAGACTATAAGATATTTTTATAATATACACAACGATACTGAAGGATTTAGAGAATTTGATAGTATGCAAAAAGCTGAATGTATTAGAGTAAATATGAAATGTTTTCATTTTTTAAACCCTCTATTACCATCTTGTGGTTTTTAAAACATACCACAAAACGTTTTTCCTTAATATTTAGCAAGTGGTATGTTCAATGTTCATTAATCAAGTAGCTTGCTGACTATCTCTATCAAATAACTTTTAGGAGTCTCTAGATTTAGTCATAAAATTTGTGTGAATTACAAGCAGTTTTATTTGTTTATTGAAAATAAAATGAAACCTATTTTTACATAAGTGAATTTTTGATACTTACAAATTTGTTTTTTAACATTGGCCTTTTTTAAAATTTTTGTTTATCCTATAAAAATCAGAAAGAACACAAGACATATCATTGGCTTTATCTCATATCCAAGAATTTAATTTCTTCTTTGTTTCCTTTATGATGATAGCATTGATGACTATATTCCCCACCAACATGCAGGTTCTGGACTAGAAGCCTCAAATTTCACCAAAAACTGCTCCTGTCATCCATTCCATATCGCTGTTTGGTTTTACAAGAGTTGGTTGAAGGCAAAAGAAAATCAGAGTAGAAATAGGTCTGATGGGATTAATTTGTTTAAGGTGCACCTGAACTTGCAACGAAGTGACCCATACACTAGATTTTATGACCCCCTCCTCTGCAGCACATATGCAATGAGACATGCAGAATCCAGTTATGAAACTGCAACCAACTGCCACTGATTCTGTTATAATTTTAAGTGGTGCCTTCTCTACCATTAGAAGGGAGTTCCACAAGCAAGAAGTGTGAGAAAAGAAACTGTCAGCATAGAAATTACAGCTATATCTAGCTAGCTCAATTCATGAGATCTTAATGCCAGTCTAGTACGGTGCTTAAATTCAAAAAGTCTAGGTACCATAGTGAAGAGCTCATCTGAACAATTACCATGAAAGTATTTCTAGAAAAGGCACAGGGAGGCAACCTTACAATGGTGAGAAAGTGACTGAAGCCAAGCTGCCAGATACCAATAATATTGCTGATTCTTCTTTGGATTCTATCAAGGAGCTCTAGATATATAGCAGGAACACTGGACCATGTGTAGCAGTATGTATGAATGGTAGACTTATAGATATGCAAGATAGATTCTGGAGAGGATAATTACAAAAGGGGAGAGGAAGATCAAGGATAAAAAAAATGACCTACCTTAAATTGGTGGAATGACAAATATAACAATAAAAAAATAACAACAAAAAAGGGCTTACCGATCATTGCACATATTTTGACCTTTTATATAATTTCTTTTTTTGTTGTTATATTGTTTCAGTCTGCCATTTTTGCAGTGAACATTTGTTCTTTTACTCAGCTTTTCTCTTCCTCTTCTCGCTTCCTATTTTTATATCTATTCATATATACTTTTAAAATATTTGTTTTTAAATCTTTAATAAAATTTTGTACCCCTCCACAGATTATTAATAATTTTAATAATTTAATAATAATGTAATTATAATTTTATATTTAATTATATTAATAAATATAATAATATATCTTTAATTGATTTTAATTATGTTTTTTATATTCATTTCTATGTTTTATATGTTTTCTTTTTTTTTTAATAAATCTTGGACTTTATTTTCTTAATTCTAATTTCTAAATATCTTGAAGAACAGTAAATTCTCTCAAGTATCTTTTATGTTTGAACTTGGAATTCTTGTTCAAAATACTTCTGGTAAATTTAATTGATTCTTGTGAATTTTTTTTGAAAAAACCTCCACTCTTTCTGTCTTGCCCAGTTTCATTTCACATCTTTCATTAATTCATTTTTTTTTTCTTTTTTAATATTTTAGTATTTAAGTTTAAATTTTTATTCCAATTATTTAACAATTTTTTTTTTCTTTACCATGCTGTTTGTCTACTCTTCCATCTTTCGAAATTTGAAAATTTTTTTCACAGTTTTTCTTATTTTCATCCATTTACAGATTTCACAGATTCTTTTATTCATTTTCTTACTATACTTTTATTATTTGATTTTTATCGCCTGTCTCTTTAGCATTCCACATTCATTGTTCATAATCCTTTAATTTTAATCGTTAATTAGAAAAATGCAAATAAACTTTTAATCCTTCTTATGAATAACCCCACAAAATAAAAAACAATTTTAGCACTAAAAATAAATGCAGAAAAACAATTGTCTTATTAAAACAAAACATTTTAATTATTTTTTCTTCTTCTTCAAAACAAAAGATTAACATTAATTTTTATTTTCTTTATTTTTCTCATAAAAGGCTATCAAAAGAGATTTACTATGAATGATACAAACTTAATTCAAGTTTTAATTTATAAGATAATTAAAAATGGATCAAAATGGAAGAAAACTTTCCAGGTCAGGTCAGAGAGCAGCCTCATGTAAGGAAAATTTAGTTATGAATCAGACAAGAAATAATTGATTGCTATTAAAATAATTATGCTTTTATAAATGGGATTAGATTATTTAGGGACAGTATTAAAAATGATAAGTAATAATTTATCTAAGACTAGCAGCATGGTCCGGTGTTGCCCGTACTTGATTCAAAAATCGTACGACTCATACAGCAATCGCTATCTCTTGACTTAAAATATGTTTGCCCTTCCTTGCCTTTAAAGGAGTGCCCTTTGCCATGCTGATGTTGCTACATGCCTTACTTCTTGCCTATCTCACACTGCGAATTTTTTTCTAAGCTCTATACTAAACATTAAATCTGTTACGAAAAAAGAACTAAATCAGCTTTAAAAAAGGACTTGTAACTGGAAAAACCGAATGAAAAAAGAATGTTAACAACAAATATTTTTTCACACCCAACCCAGTTCTGTGGAATCAGAATCAACGTTGAGTTTAAGCAAGCGATTGAGCCAACTGGAGTAAAGTGCCTTGCAGATTTAAATTTTTCCCACTTGTGACGAATGCAGCTATTGATTTTTTTTGCATGCTAGCATGCTAGTTAACATTTGTGTCAGTCAGCTGTTGGCTCTCACACTGGCCAATAGAATCTTCCTGCCTATTCGTGGCAGCCAGCTATAGCCTCTCACTCTGGCTAGTAGAAAATGGCCGCAAACTACATGAAAACTGCCATAGAAGCATGAAAAAATCGATTATTTCCACTATCGATGGGAGTTGGGAAATGCAAAGTTGGTCTTGGCCTTTCTGCTAACTTGGAGCATGTGCATGTAAATTTTGGTGCAAATCCGTCAAAAATTGCAGCCATGCATTCGTTACACACACTCACACACACATACATCCTGTGTTTTATATATAGAGATTTTTTGTGGATTTGCTAATATTGGAAATCATCTCAAAACCAAGATTTCAAGGCAGTAAGTGAGGAAATACAGAGAGTAAGTTAAACATATATATATATATATAGATAATTATTCTTATTTTTCATTGAACAATTTTTCTTTCATTGTTTTCTTCATTCACTGAATTTCATTCTTACTCTCACTTTCTAATTGGTTTTCCTTTCTTAGTTCTCTTTTTTTTCTCTTTTTTATTTTTTATATCTATTCTTTTCCTTGAACTATTTTTCTTTCATCTTTTACTTAATTCTCTGAATTTCTTCACTGTCCTCAGTTTGTTCTTTTTGGTTCACCCTTCTATTTCTTTCTTTCTTTCTTTCTTTCTTTCATTTTTTTTTTTCTTTCTTTCATTTTTTTCTTTTTTTTTCTTTTTTTTTAATTTTTTCTTTTTTTTATTTTTTATAGCTATTTTATTCCTTCAAACATTTTTCTTTCATCTTTTTCTTCATTCTCTTAATTTCTTCCCTGTTCTCTCTTTGTTCTTCATGTTGGTTTTCCCTTCCATTTCTTTGTTTCTTTCATTTTTTTCTTTGCTTCTTTTATTTTTTTATAGCTATTTTTTCCTTGAAATATTTCTCTTTCATCTTTTTCTTCACTCTCTTAATTTCTTCCCTTTTCTCTCTTTGTTCTTCATGTTGGTTTTCCCTTCCATTTCTTTGTTTCTTTCATTTTTTCTTTGCTTCTTTTATTTTTTTATAGCTATTTTTTCCTTGAAATATTTCTCTTTCATCTTTTTCTTCACTCTCTTAATTTCTTCCCTTTTCTCTCTTTGTTCTTCATGTTGGTTTTCCCTTCCATTTCTTTGTTTTTTCATTTTTTTTTTTGCTTCTTTTATTTTTTTTTATAGCTATTTTTTCTTTGAAATATTTCTCTTTCATCTTTTTCTTCACTCTTTAATTTCTTCCTTTTCTCTCTTTGTTCTTCATGTTGGTTTTCCCTTCCATTTCTTTGTTTCTTTCATTTTTTTCTTTGCTTCTTTTATTTTTTTATAGCTATTTTTTCCTTGAAATATTTCTCTTTCATCTTTTTCTTCACTCTCTTAATTTCTTCCCTTTTCTCTCTTTGTTCTTCATGTTGGTTTTCCCTTCCATTTCTTTGTTTCTTTCATTTTTTCTTTGCTTCTTTTATTTTTTTATAGCTATTTTTTCCTTGAAATATTTCTCTTTCATCTTTTTCTTCACTCTTTTAATTTCTTCCCTTTTCTCTCTTTGTTCTTCATGTTGGTTTTCCCTTCCATTTCTTTGTTTCTTTCATTTTTTTCTTTGCTTCTTTTATTTTTTTATAGCTATTTTTTCCTTGAAATATTTCTCTTTCATCTTTTTCTTCACTCTTTTAATTTCTTCCCTTTTCTCTCTTTGTTCTTCATGTTGGTTTTCCCTTCCATTTCTTTTGTTTCTTTCATTTTTCTTTGCTTCTTTTATTTTTTTTATAGCTATTTTTTTCCTTGAAATATTTCTCTTTCATCTTTTTCTTCACTTTTTTAATTTCTTCCCTTTTCTCTCTTTGTTCTTCATGTTGGTTTTCCCTTCCATTTCTTTGTTTCTTTCATTTTTTCTTTTGCTTCTTTTATTTTTTTTTTATAGCTATTTTTTTTTGAAATATTTCTCTTTCATTTTTTTCTTCACTCTTTAATTTCTTCCCTTTTCTCTTTTGTTCTTCATGTTGGTTTTCCTTCCATTTCTTTTGTTTCTTTCATTTTTTTTTTGCTTCTTTTATTTTTTTATAGCTATTTTTTTCCTTGAAATATTTCTCTTTCATCTTTTCTTCATTCTCTTAATTTCTTCCCTGTTCTCTCTTTTGTTCTTCATGTTGGTTTTCCTTCCATTTCTTTTTGTTTCTTTCATTTTTTTCTTTTGCTTCTTTTTATTTTTTTTTTTAGCTATTTTTCCTTGAAATATTTCTCTTTCATTTTTTTCTTCACTCTCTTAATTTCTTCCCTTTTCTCTCTTTGTTCTTCATGTTGGTTTTCCCTTCCATTTCTTTGTTTCTTTCATTTTTTCTTTTTGCTTCTTTTTTTTTTTTTATAGCTATTTTTTTCCTTGAAATATTTCTCTTTCATCTTTTCTTCACTCTTTTAATTTCTTCCCTTTTCTGTCTTTGTTCTTCATGTTGGTTTTCCCTTCCATTTCTTTGTTTCTTTCATTTTTTTCTTTGCTTCTTTTATTTTTTTATAGCTATTTTTTCCTTGAAATATTTCTCTTTCATCTTTTTCTTCATTCTCTTAATTTCTTCCCTGTTCTCTCTTTGTTCTTCATGTTGGTTTTCCCTTCCATTTCTTTGTTTCTTTCATTTTTTCTTTGCTTCTTTTATTTTTTTATAGCTATTTTTTCCTTGAAATATTTCTCTTTCATCTTTTTCTTCACTCTCTAAATTTCTTCTCTGATCTCTATTCATTTTTCTGTTTGCTTTCCTTTCTTCGTTCTATTCCTTTTTTTTTCGTTCTTTCTTTCTTTCTTTATATATATATATATATATATATATATATATATATATATTTTCTTTCATCCTTTTTTTTTCTTTCTCTGAATTTCATCCTTTCTCTTTCTTTGTCTACTTGTTGGTTTTCTCTCCCATTCTCTTTCTTTCTCTATCATAGATAGAAGACATGTTCTTACCACAAATCTTACCAAACTCATTATAATTTTTTTTTTCGTGCTTCTGCATTTGCTGGTTTTTCTTTGGTTTCTTATGAATTCCCAGAATTATTGCTCATATGAACATAAAAGGCTTGGAGAATTTGACACTCACAAGGCATAATGAAGACAAGAGGGGTCAGAGAAAAACATCAAGTGACCTACCTAAATGGATGACAGAACAGTAATTGAGAGAGATAGTAAGATGACAAACATTATTTAGAGATACAAAGCATAGGAAGTTGTGGAGAGCCATGATCCTAACGAGCATGAGTAAATGGATGGCAGAACAGAGACTGGGAGGGATAATAAGAAAACAATCATTACAAAGGATAGGAAGTTGTGGAGTGCCATTATAACCTACTTAACGAATGTGTGTAAATGGATGACAGAACAGTGATTGGGAAGGATCACAAGAAAACAAAGATTACTTAGAGCTAGGAAGGATAGGAAGTTGAGGAGAGCCATGATCACCTACATCATGAGCATGGCTAAATAAATGGCAGAACAGGGACTGAGAAGGATAGTAAGCAGACAATTATTACTTAGAGCTATGAAGCATAGGAAGTTGTGGAGAGCCATGATCACCTACTTAACAAGCTTGTGTAAATGGATGGCAGAACATGGATTGGGAGGGGTAGCAAGGAGACAAACATTACTTAAAGTTACAAAAGATAGGAAGTTGTGGAGAGCTATGATCACCTACCTAACAAACTTGTGTAAATGGATGGCAAAACAGGTAGTTTGAAGGATAGCAAAGAGAAAAACATTATTTAAAGCTCCAATAGATAGGAAGCTGTGGAGAAGCATGATCACCCACATCCTAAAGAGACATTGCACATAAAACAAGAAAGGCTTTAGTACCACTATTAAGTAAAACTTATGAATTATTTCTGGAGTTGACCACAGCTGAATGAAACTTCAGAAAACTGAAATCACATATTAGCAGAGATCACTGTATTCAAAGAGTTCATTTTTGTTGGAACTTCTGGCCCAATCCAGGGTGCTTCACTAAGATTATCAGGGTCAGGAAATTTCCAACATGCAAAATGGTCACCTGTTAGCCAAAAGAATGATTCCCATTTTCTGCAGAGGAGGGATGGATGAAGAAAAACATATCATGTGACCAGACAATTTATTGATTTGATTATTTTGTTTTTTACATCTTATCAACCCATAACCAAAACATATTTTGGATTATAATAATAATCTCATACGGATGGCATCCAACTCATTCAGAAATATTTAAATCATCATCTATACACAACTATTTTTTCAGATCAATAATTAAAAATGGCTTCAAGAGAATGAATCCTGTAGGTCTTAAAGAGGACAATCTATAGACTCTATAGACTGGTGCTGCAGAATCACAAACAAATAATTTTACCAAGTAACAAAAACCACATCACTTGGACACTTCGATCAGATAAAAAGTCAATAATAACTAAAATGGATAGCACGTGTAGAGATTTTCCAAGCGTAGCTTAGATGTGGCACAAGGCCGAAAGTATGGGGCATCCAGTGAGGATCGAACTCACTTTTCAGTAGTAACTGATCTAGCAAGACAAGCTTGCTAACCATTACACCACGCCGAGGTGCCCAAATGGATAGCACGTGTAACTGGAAGAAAAAATAATGGTGTAATCAAGATGTTGACATTCCATACTACCATAAACAAAAGGTCAGGAAAGAAAGAAGTCGACCCAAGAAGCTTATTTTACTGAAAAACTGTTTTAATGATTTTATAAATTTCCATTGTTTTTAATTTTCATTAATGACCTTCCCAATGGCATCACTTCACAATTTGGTATCTATGCTGATGACAAAACCATTTACTCATGTCTCAATACGAAGTCTGATCAGTCCGGCAAAGTCAAATTGGCAGTTTATGGCAGCAAAATAACCTACAATCTATTGTTAATTGGGGCAAAGAATGGCTTGTTAATTTTAACACTTCTAAAACTAATCTGCTATCTATTAATCATCTGAGAGACTCTTTCTGCCTTTCATCAGCATGGCTGATGCTAACCTCCAGGAGAGTGACTCATAGCACCTTTTCAGGCTAACATTCTCAGCTGATATGAAATGCAAAGACTATATTGAATCCATTAGTAGGCCAACTGCTAAAAAAGTTGGTTTACTGTTCCATGCTAGGCAATTTTTCTCTCCAGAATCTATCTTACATATCTATAAGTCTACCATTCACCCATGTTTCAAATGTTGCTGCCACATATGGTCCAGTGCACCTGCTATATATTTAGAGATTCTTGATAAAATCCAAAGAAGAATCAACAATATTATTGATCCTGACCTGGCATCTCAACTTCAGTCACTTTCCCACTATCATAAAGTTGTAATTGTTCTGATGAGCTCTTTGCCATGGTACCTAGACTTTATGAATTTAAGCACAGTACTAGATTATCAACTATGTCCCATCAATTTACAATTGAACTGGCTAGATATAACCATAAATTCTATGCTAACAGTTCATTTTCTCACACTTCTCACTTGTGGAACTCTCTCCAGCACCATGCTTTCAATTTAACTTTAATCTTCAAAAATTATTTAAATGCAATGTCAATTGTTATCTACTGTCTTTTATTGTACTTATTGCTTAGTAATGTTTCTTTGTTTTCTATTCTTTTGCATCCAGTAACCCTTTGTGTCTTAGTTGCTTTACTGCCTTGCTTGGGGTAAATTTGATTAAAAGAATCAGTAATACTAACTATTCAATTAAGGAATGCCACATGTTTCTATGGAAACAGTTGTTCTTGCAATATTATAACATAATGCTAGTTCTACCACTTAAACCAGAAAGTGACAATAAATAATGTTATGTATTCTCATTCTATTATAAAAGATGGACAGCTAGTTTGAAATCCTGTCATGAAACAAATTTTCAGGCAAAGAATGTTCGACTGAAAGAAACAATTTATAGCCGTGCTATCTTATCTGAAAAGATACAGAGAATTAATATCATTTCTAAGTTTAGAAAAAGGCACAATAGATAAGATTTTTAAAAATAACTATTTCACTCTTTCTTATATTGGAATCAAGCAATCTACCAAAATTTCTAAGTGTTTGTCCCTGAAGCACTATAAACTGAAAATGATTTCTCAATTTACCTTTTTCTCTTTCGTTGATTTGATATTGCATCGTCTTTTGACTTTCCTCACCAATTTTCTATTGCTTTTAAATTTCTTGGTTGCTGTCATTGCTTTCTTAATTGTCCTTGTCTTTGTTTACTCTTCAATTCTGTTTATTTTTTTTCATCTTCTTAGAATTAGTTTTCTTTTTCTTTTATTTCTAAATTCTTCCCCTCCTTCTCTTTTTATCTCTCTCTCTGTCTTTGTCTACTTTGATCTCCTTTTTATTCCTGCTTCTTCAATTCTTCCTTTTTTAGGTATCTACTCTTAATTATCATTGAACTATTTTCCTTTCAATATTTTTTTTCCTCTTAATTTCATTTTCCTTCTTTCTTTATTCTTCCTGTTGGTTTTCTTCTCTTAGCTTTCCTTTCTTTTATCTTTTTATTTGCTAGTGTATCTCATCATGAGGCAATCCTCATTGGTTGATCCTCATATCCTTGTGCCAGACTAAACTAAGCTTTTTAAAAAATGGGCATTTTGACACGAAGCAATAGTTAGAAAACAGGTTTCACAGACCACTACTACACTTTAGTAATCACTGAGTGCTCAAGATCTGTGGCCTTGTGCCAGATAAAGTTCAGTAAAAATATAATTAAACTTGCATAAATTCTGTTTTTCATTTCTCACTTATTCATCAGCTTCCCGATTATGTATCTTTCTTCAATCATTTTTATTTTCCTTCATTTTATTTTTCTTCAATCACTTGGACTCATTCAAACCATTCAATTCTTTTTACTTATTTACTTGATTTCATATCTTTATTAATGAAATTGCTGTCTTTTAGTTATCTTAAAGAAAACATTTTAACCTTCCATAAGCATGACTGATGCTAACCTCCAGGGGCGCACCCTATTTCACCTTCTTGATCTCATGTTTTCCACTGTCATAAAGTGGAATGAGTATATTGAATCAATTGCTAGATCTGCTGCTAGGAAAGTTGGTTCACTGTGCTTTTGCCAGGCAGTTTTTCTCACCAGAATTCACCTTGCACATTTCTAAATCTACCATTTGTCCATGCTTTGAATATTGCTACCAGATCTGGTCTGGTGTTCCTGCTATATATCTTGACATTCTTGATAATCAATCCTTACCTGGCATCTTTTCTTCAGTCAGTTTCTCAATGCAAGAGCTTTTCTGTGTTCTTCTATAAATATTTTCATGTTAATTGTTCTAATGTACTTTCCTCCTTAGTACTTCAGTCACATGAACTTTAGCATAGTACTAGATTGGCAATTAGGTCTCATCATTTTACTGTTGATACAGCTAGATGTAATCATATGTTCTATTCTAACAGTTTCTTTTCTCACACTTCTTGTCTGTGGAACTCTCTTGCAGCTTCTTGCTTTCCTGTACAGTATGATCTTCAAAAACTGAAATTCAACATCATTTGCCATTTTCTGTCTTTATGAATCAAGTTCTTTTATTATCCTTTCTCCTCTCTACTGTTTTCTAATTTTGTTTCACTCTTAGTAACCCCTTGCTTCTTAGTGGCTTTATTGCCATGCTTGGGTCAAAATGATTTTGAAAAAAATTAACATTTAATTATCTTTGTTTTTAATTTTTGATTTATGACCCATTTTTTTAAAAAATTCTTTATTTCTATTGACATATTTCTTTTTTCTTCATTTTTTTCTTTCTTAATTTTCTAATATTTCTTTTCTGTAACTTTTGCTCTTTCTCTTTCATTTTTATTTTATTTTTTACTCTTTGTTCGCAGTTTTTGATTGTTTTTAATTTCATAATTTTCCTTTAATTTTTATCATATTCATTCATTTTTTTTTTAAATTTATTTTTGTATTTATTTTCTTGTAACAAATATTTTCTCACAATCTCTGCTTCTTTTTCATTCATTTTAGTTTGTCATTCATCATTTTTTTCCCTTCTAGATTACTTCTGTTTTTATTTTTCATTTGCTTTCCTATTTCTTCAATTTTGCTTACATTACTTTTATTGAATTCATTTCTTTCAAACAACTTATTTCATTTTCTTTCATTATTGGTTTTTCTTTTCATTCACTTCTCTTTTCATTCCTTTCCTGTCTTTTTAATGTAACACTCATTTGTTTTTCCAATATTTTTATTTCATTCCTCTCTTCATTTGATTTCCTATTTTCTTTTTTTAGTCTTCATTTTCTGTTCAATTCCTTCCCTTCTAACACTTATTTAATTTTCTGTCATTAATGTTTTCTCTTTTCATTCCTTTCCTTTTTAATGTAACCCTCACTCATTCTTATTCTTATTCTTAACTACTAAAATTGACATTTATTGAAATCTTTCACAAAACCAGAGGCAAAACTTTTCTTTCTTTTCTTCATTTAATTTCTTCATTTATTTTATTTTAGATGCTGACTTTGTTTGCCAAACTGATTAAGTAAGACACAAAACCCAGAAATAAAATTCTAATATTGTCATTCGTAGAACACAAAATGTCTCTATAACCAGAGGTTTATAAACTAAATTTAGGCATATCTGTTCACTATTGTTTTTTTTCTCTTTTGTTTTATATATTATTTCTCATTTCTCTCCCTCAAGAACAGACATACTTGAGAGAAATAATAATAATAACAACAACAACAACTCTATATCCAGACAGTGCTATGAGATAATGGCTAGCAAGTCTAACTTGGTTGACTACTACTACTGAGTATTAAATTTGACCCTCACTGGGTGCCCCATGCACAAATTCAACATTAAATAACTCATTAATGGTTGGCTTATTATAAAATCAACCAACATCACTTGGCGTGGCATAATTGGTTAACGAAGCTTGTCAACATGATTGCTGTAAGAATACATGAAAAACAAAAATAAATTACGAGAACCAAGTGTGTATTTATATATGGTGGTAGTAGACTCTGCCATCATATTCGACATATAACGGTCAAGCAGCTCAGTTCCTAGGAACCAACAACCACAAACCAGCACATATGATTTGATTATAATGGTGAAGGCTTTGTGCAGAACCAACCACACATTTTGAAGGGCCGAATACAGAGACTTGGTGCACTATTTGCCACAAGGTCCCCAAACAACCCTCCGCAGGTTTTGAATTCAGAGTTATCCTTCTTCTAAACCATCCAAGGCTATAGAACCCAGTCTGTTCTGCAATTTACCCATAGCTGGAGGGAGAAGAAGAGGATTCATACCTTTCCCAAGGGGATTAGTATGTAAGTGAATGTAATGGATTCAACTGGAATTCAAACTCGGCTCTCTGATTCCTCAACTTGAGCCGCTATCCACTACTCCACTGTACCTCTAATTGGTGTTCATATATATATATATATATATATATATATGTGTGTGTGTATGTGTGTGTGTGTGTGTGTGTATCAAACATAACTCTCCTACTATCAACCTCACCTTATTTAAGTGGAAATGGAGTGCTAAAAGTTTAAAAATAGAAAGATGCTCACACAGATTACAGCCACAGTCAACATGTGAAGGCTCATAATAAACACTCCGATTCAAAACAACACAAAAATAAAATACAACTTAAACAGTCAAAACATGAGGAAAAACTAACACCAAAAACCAAAAACCCTTTAAAATGGCTAAAGAAGTGACTGAAAGCACTCGGGACAATGTAAATTATGTAAAATTTCTGTATTCTGTATTCCCTTTACTTTATATATACATAGATAATATTAGTGGTAAATATACACATACATATGTAAAATATATAAATATATATACATACATGCATACACATACATATATATTTTGTATAAAAAAAATTCCAAGAGGATAGAATCCAGGTAGAACTCAATGTCCAGGACAGAGTAAGGATATAATAAAAAGGCTTAAACACTAATATTCCATGGTCATAATTTATTCCATTTACAATTCCAGTGGAATAAATTATGACCAACTTTTCGCACCACCCCTGTCAGTTATGGGTGAAGTAGACTTGTCTCATCAAAACCATTATGGTTCATGGTGAAGAGATTGAATTTAATATCTTTTGGCAGGATGTCAGTATTTCCAGCAGGAACAGTTTTTGTTCGATGCTGGGAGTATTTTTATTTTTATTTAATTTATTTTACATAAGTTTTTATGTTATTGTTTTATTTATAATTTTCATTATTATTATTATGTTATATTTATTTTTTATCATCATCATCATCATCATCATCATCATCATCATCATCATCATCATCATCATCATCATCATCATTCTCCTCCTTCTCCTCCCCTCCCCTCCCCTCCTCCTCCTCCTCCTCCTCCTCCTCCTCCTCCTCCCTATAGCACAAATTAAGGAATTTTTTATTTAAATTTTAATGTCAAATTCAGACTTTCTTCACAAAATCAGGTAATCAGATACTAGGATTCCATAACTATGAAATATATCGAATATGTGACTGTAGCATTGTTAGAAAAAGTTTTTAGGGATTGGATTGATTTACTATGAATTTCTGTTGTAAGTAGAGCGGAACCATAAACACTTGAAGTACCTGACAAAAACAGATGCCTTTATTACTGACTACCATAAATTGTAACTTTTTTCCTGTGGCTTTATTACCAGCCACAGAAAATACAGAACAAAAATATAAAAGGATGAAGCACTGAAGATAGAAAGAAAACCATCATTCTTAGCCCACTTGTCTGTCTGAGAAATTGGAGAAGAATGTTAAAACCTGGAAGAAATCGCCAGGAAAGTAATCTTCAATTTAAATAGCAAATAAATAAACGGCTCCAATTACATCTGAAAGATTATCACTAATAACATTCTGTTGTATGTCTATGCTATTGCTTATCAAAAATTCAGCTATGAAAGAACAATTTAAAGAAGAGAAGCTAACGCTGAAAAAATTTCAATAAATATAGTGAAAGAAAGGAAGATAAAATAAGTAAATGATTGGAAGAACAAATTGAAAAAAAAGAGAAATGCAAAATGGCTATAAATATAAAATAAAAAAAAAATGGTATTGTCATGTGACCCAGAAAAGAAAAAGAAAATTGATGACCTTCGGTGGCAGGTTAATTTTCAATGAGAAAAGAAATGTGAAAAAAATATGTAAAATAGTAAAATATATTAAAAATACCATTTTTTTAAAATTTTATTATGCTCTCTTGAAGAACTCTCCATCAAGTCTGTGTCTAATAATTACCCATGATCCTTTGGCTCTATTATCGGCCAAAATTGCTTCCTACAAATGAAACAGCCTTTCTGACAATACCTGTAAAAGATTTGAGTGGATTCCAAGAGGAAAGAAAAAAGGGCATATTTTCATTAAAAGAAAAAAAATATTATCACTGCGTGAGATTTTGCATGAGAAATAATACAGGTCAGAGAAAGGTTGCTATAGGAATATCACTAGTTTAATGTTTTTAAAGTTTGTCCAATTTTTATTTCTTCATTGTTTTTCTCCTTTTATATGGAAGAGTTACAAAGCGAATAGGAAGAAAGATAAAAAAAATAACTATTTTTCTTTGGTAATTTTTATTAATGTTCTTCGTTTTCTTTATTTTCTTTCTTGCTTTTTTTTTAAAAAATGAATTTATAACTCTTTAATAATCCTTTTTTTTTATTTCTCTTTCTTTATTTTAGTGTTTCTTCTCTTTCCACCTTTCTTTAAATTTTAAAAAAATTTAAAAAAATAAAAAAAGAATGCAAGCGCTTCTGCTTTTTTCTTCTTTACTTCTTCCATGGTTTCTCTTTTTCCGTTCAAAGATTATTTTAAAGTTTTTCGGTATTTAATTCCTTTATTCATTTCTGTCGATTCAAGAATTTTCTCATAATCTCCTTAGCACTCACCATAATGTGCACAAAAATCTTTAATCCTGATTATGTCTGTTGAGTTAACCTTAGTATGTAAAGAATCAGTGCTAGTCTGTAAGTAAAGAAATATAAGGGAAAAAAAAGATAACTCCCACGCTATCTGAGACAGAGTTCCTGGTTTCTCTTTTATAGTCTTTTCCTCTCTCAATTTGTTTACTTTTTTGTTGGTCTTTAAGTAAATTGCATGTCTGTTGATATTTCTTGAGAAAGTTACACGATGAACTATTGATTAGCATTTAAAATGTTCTTTCCACAAAACAAGTGATTACATAGAATGAAATCTTGCTTACAGCTTATCTTTTTTTAACCTTCTTCATTCAGTTTGAGGGTTTTTTTTTTCCTTTCCTAAAACTCAATCTTAAAATCCCTTTAACTGAACTTGAATAAGCAACAATCATTGAGCCAGATTGTTCAGAGCTTCGAAAGATCTTTCTGTTTTTTCTTTTTTTTTTTTTAAAAAAAAAACAATGTTTTTCCCTTTCCAATCATTTTAAGAATAAGTTTTGGGCCAATTTTACTGTGCGTCATGCCACAAAATGAAAATTCTTAAATTTATCAGATCTGAATTTTGAATGTCGAACTAAAAGGAATGAAAAAAAATACTGTTAGTGTTCGTTTTATTTTGACAGCAGTTTTTCATTCATACAAGTTTTGTTAAAGAAAGACTAAAGAAAATTCACTGTTAAGGATTATTTTTTCTATGTTTTGAATGATTTTCTTGGTTTCGGATACATATTTAGATATAAATTGTCCAACTTCGAAGTAATTTCGACTATCACTTGTCATAATCAAAGACTTTCATTTTTTTTTAACTATCATCATTTTTTTTCACATATCATGTGCATTTCCATCTGTTCATGTTATAATACATGCTGTCAGCTTTATAATTATTATTGAAATATATTTAATACTAGCTTAAAAGCCACAATATTGGGTGGCATTTAAGCTAGCTCTTGGTCCTTGATTGGGCCTTCATCACAATAGGTAGGGAGGAGTAGATGCAATAGGCAACAATAAACTACAGAGATTTGTTTTGGCATGTCTACAAGTTGTGCTATCCAAAGTTTTTTCCAAACAAGTATTACTATTAATATATATATATACTTACAACACCATCATTTGACAAGAGTGGCTATTTTTGTAGTGATGTTATAACATACATATATTATAATTTTTAAATAAATATATATATGTGTGTGTGTGTGTGTGAGCGTTGTTAATGGTTAGAAAAGAAAAGAAAAGAATTGCAAATCAGGAAGAAAGGGTTTTTTAGTAATCAGAAATTAATGCAAGTGTTACTGCTAGAGTAGTGCTATTATATATATTATTTACTGCAAGGATAGTTGGGTAACTGTGTCATGCCAGAAGGTATTTCTTGTCAGAGTTAATCTTGCACATTTACAAATGTACCATTCATCTGCACATTGAATACTGTTGCCATATCTGGTCAGGTGCTCCTGCTACTCATCTCAAGGTTCTTAAAAAATCCAAAGAAGGATCTGCTATGTAATCCATCTTGACTTGGCATCTTGACTTCAATCACTTTCTCACCGACATGATGTGGCTTCACTCTGTCTTTCCTACAAATATTTTCACAGTTACTGCTCTGATAAGGTTCTTTTCCTGGTGCTCGGACAACGTTTGTTTAAGCGTGCTACTAGATTGGCATCTAGGTCTCACCCTTTTACTGTTGAATTAGTTAAATATAACCCCCACTTCTACCCCCCCACCTTCTCACACTTCCCACCTGTGGAACTCACTTCCATTTCCTTACTTCTCTGATAGATACAATCTTCAAAAATTTAAATGCAATGTCAATTGCCATTTTCTATCTTCTTGAAGCTTGTTCAGCTTTATCTTTTTTTTGGTCTCCCCATATCCAGTCTTTTCTCTCTCATTCACTCTCAGCAACCCCCTGCGTACTAGTGGTATTCCCGTCTTGCTTGGGGTGAAATGATTAAAAAAAATAAGTCCTTTGTTGATGGTTTTTACTTAAAATGCAAACCAGGAAGAAAGGGTTTCTCAGTAGTCATGAATTGATGCATGTGTTACTGACAGAATAGTTATTAATACTGGAAATGCCCATGAAAATTTTATAGCTTTCCTATTTGAATTTTCTGATGAATCTTAATTCTTAAGATAATGATTAAATAAGCTCATGATGAGTTCTACAACAATAAAATATCTGTAGAAATCACCATATTGCATCGTTAAATATTTGAGCTTAACAAATCTTAACAAAATAATACAATAACAATCATAAATATGAATGCTGGTCATTATTTTAAGAAGTGGGTACAAATGAAATGATCTGAAATTGTTATTTTTTCCATTTCATTGAAACAGACATTAAACACTTTTCTCTCTTTTTGATTTTCTCACTGAAACCAAATAGCATCTCTGATATGTCTTTTCTGTTTTTCCATATGATATTTATGAGGTATTCAGTCAGTTATGTGCCATGAGTGATACATGCTTAGGCGATCATGTATCTTTTGATACATGACTGACATGGCAGATTTATTTCCCACAGTAGGTTGCTATTTCTTTCTGCAGTAGACCAGTTGCCATCCAAGGCTATAGAACCCGGTCTGTCCTGCTATTTACCCATAGCTGGGAAGAAAAGAAGACAATTTATACCTTTCCCAAGGTTATTAGCACGTAAATGAATATAATGGATTTGACTGGAATTTGAACTCAGCTCTCCAGATCCTCAATCTGAGCCACTATCCATTACTTCACCATGCCTTCTGAGGTATTGGCAGGGCATAACAGTCATTTAAATTAAAGAAAGAACAAGAAGAATTATAATAAGATATATAATGGCTAATTAAATCAATACTGAAATACTTGATTTTAAAAATGCTGATAATAATTAAGTTGCTAATTAACATAATTTTTATTTTTTGTCTTTTAACTATTTCTCTTCTTTATTCTTTATTACCATTAGGCAGGGGAGTTTTTATGGCTACCTATGGGGAGAGGCATTTTTATGGCTACCCTTGGGGATATTTAGCCTCATTCCTGTGGCTTCCTAACTTCTGACATTTATTCCTAATCCCACTCCATCATTAGGCTTTTAATCCCTCACAATATCCCATACCCTTAAAAGAGACTCTTTAAATCTTGCAAACAAATAAGAGAATTCTTATGGCTATCATGTCGTAAAGGGGTTGAGGTTTATTTGGCATCAGTCTTCCTCCTTTCACTTTCATCTTCTTTGTTATCTGGGGTTAACAAAAATAAAAATCAAGCTCATCAGAAAACATACCAGTGACAAGACTTTCTTTTTAAGATCCGGATTTCAGTGTGCTGACCTTGTTGTGGGTCATCTTTTAAACAGTCTCGCTTTTGGGCAAGCAGCTCAGAACAAAACTGCATTAAAGGATACTGAAGTGTTCATTCACAGATTTACAAAACCATCGTCCAGCAAGATTTGAAGTTTTACTTATATTATTTCCTATATTAAATTATATAAAGACAAAAATTAAATAGATTATATAAATCTTGTATTTGGCAAGTTTCCAAGGGAAAAAATACTGTTAAAAAGTATAAACTATATTGTTCAATGAAATTTCTTTTTCAAAGCAAATATTTTTCTATGCTAAGCATTAATAATAAAAATGAAATTATAGTCTTACACTAAATGATACCAAATGACAATTGCTACTGTGTAAGATAAATCTATATAACAGAAAATATATAGACACTATCTTTTCCCATGAGGAATAAAAATTTAATGTTAAAACTTTCCCTTGGGTTCAGTGAACAGTATCTGGCTATATTTCTGAGATGAGGTATTAGGTACACTATTTACATTATTTGGACTATTGTCCTCATCTTTGTCACCATATTTATTACAACGTTTTGGCCGTTCAGTATCTGTCTATATTTCTGAGATGAGGTATTATGTACACTATATACATTATTCGGACTATTGTCCTCATCTTTGTTGCCATATTTATTACAACGTTTTGGCCGTTCAGTATCTGTCTATATTTCTGAGATGAGGTATTATGTACACTATTTACATTATTTGGACTATTGTCCTCATCTTTGTCGCCATATTTATTACAACGTTTTGGCCGTTCAGTATCTGTCTATATTTCTGAGATGAGGTATTATGTACACTATTTACATTATTCGGACTATTGTCCTCATCTTTGTCGCCATATTTATTACAACGTTTCAGCCATTGTATGCTCCAGCCTTCTTCAGGTGAATGGAATGTCAAACTGGACCCCTTTCTATTATCTTTTGTAAAATTTAATTAATTAATGATGGTGTTGATTGTAAAATAAAAAGTTTACTTATAATTTTTAAATAAATATTATTCGCTCTACTTTGTATTGAGCACTTTTAAAAAAATAGTGTTTTTGGTTACTGGAATTTTATTGCATCTATACCAACCTTGTATTCGGATATATATATATATGTGTATATATATATATATATATTAAAAAATATACATAATACCATACATTGATTACACAACTCTGTTTTATGCCCTCTGCAATCTTCAGGTGTGAATTTTTGGGGGTTAACACCAGTTTTTTTAATATTTCTGGCTATCATGAGATATCTTATTGTTAAGATGTATTATGTTGTTAATTATTTAAATGAATTATAGTTTAATTTTACCTGTATTTATTTATTTGATATATATATATATATATATATATATATATATATATATATATATATATATGTGTGTGTGTGTGTGTGTGTGTGTGTGTGTGTGTGTGTGTGTGTGTGTGTGTGTGTGTGTGTACATATTGGCACATATAAAACTTTTGGTTGCATGAAGGTGGTAGATAAGTACCTTAATATCTATATATTGCTATTTCATTATTTTCCTTGTTCTATATAGAGTACTGTATTGTATAGGTAACCTTGTCATCTTTGTTTGTTGCAGTTTCTCTCTTTTTTAATATATATATATATATATATATATATATATATATATATATATTTATATATATATATGTATATATATATATATATATATGTGTGTGTGTGTGTGTGTGTGTGAGAAAAAAATAGTGAAAGAAAATGAAACTTACAGATAATTATAAATAGATCTTTTATTAATGAAATATGTATTTACTAAGCTGAGCTTAAAGAGACACTGTGGTCTAGTCGTGATATGCCCAGAGAGGACTAAAAAAGTCCATCTATGAAATAGTGTTAACTGATACTTACTAAGCTAGGCTTCGTCAAGCTTTGCATGAGGCATCAATTGAGAATTGGCATCAATTCAGGAGTAATTGTCTGTAAGATAGATTACTCAGCTTGGCTTACCTTCATCTAGCACAAGTCCACAAGTACCAAAATGTCACTTAGTAGAGCACAAGGCCATGAGAATGGTACCCTAAACTCACCATTGTAATGAACTGACTTTCTAACCACCATCCCACAGCACATTATATATATATATATATATGTTAACCCTCCTGTGGAATATAGCATGACAGCCTCACCATGCTTGGTCGGCAGCATGATACTCTTCCATTATATCTTATATAAGACACATGCATTAAATATATATAAAGATAGATATATTGTAACATAAATATTTTGGTAGTATGTTTCAAAAGTCACCTAAGAAATTTCTTATGATTTTGTCTTTGATCTTTTGGTCTAAGACTTGAGAATTTGTTTTTTGCTTTTCCTTTTTCAGAAAATTTTCATATCTCTGACACCGACTCAGCCTGTTACATTTTTTTTTCTACTTTCACTTTCAGTTAAGTCATATTTTTTTGTTAGAGCATTTATCTCCCTTTCATATGTATGCATGTGTGAGCTAATGTGTGCCTTATCTTCCAAGAGTTTATTTCTCTAATCAGCAGACTTCCATATGTTTATCTTCTTCAAAACCAGCCAATTTTGTTTGCTGGGGCATTTTTGTTTTTGTTTTGTTTTTTGATTTTCACATTTTATTCCCACTTCTTTGAGATTTTCTTTCTGGAAAGTTTTCTTCTTTTTTTTTTTCTTATTTTTAGTTTGTCCTGTTGCTTCTATACTTATTATTCCTAATTTTTATCATTCTTTTTCATTTTTCCATTTCTTTGCACTGCTTTCCTCTCTTTTCTATATTTAAAGAACACTTGTTTCCTTCCTTTATTTCACATTTTTATATTTCTTGGTTTCCTTTTGTTTTTCTTTCATTCTTTCTTCCTTTATTTTTCTACAGATTTTTTTTCTTTTTTCTGTCTATTTCATTTTTTTCATTGTTTACCTTTTCCTTTATTTTTCTACTTTTGCTTTTATCTTTTTTCTTTTTCTTTCCATTTTTAATTTTTCTTTTCTTTCTATTTTTTTCTGTTGTTTAACCCTTCCTTTTTTTTCTGCTTTATTTTTTCCTATTTATATTTCTTTTACTTTTCAGATTTTTCATTCCTTTTAGTTTTTTTCTCTTTTATCTATTTTCCTTCTTCTTATCTTTTCTGGCTTCTTTGTCTTCTTTCTTAATCTTTTTACCCTTTTCTCAAGAATGACTTTATATTCTCATTCACTTCTTCTTCATCTTCACACTCATTTCTCCTCCCCACTTTTCCACATTAAATTCTTTCTTCAGCTCCACTCTAACCTAATCCCCACTTGCTTTACTCACCTAAACCATTCACAAATTATCTGTCTTTCCTTCACATTCCAGCTACCAAACTTCATGTTTCCTTAGCCCAAGCCACTTCCTACCCCCAGTCATTTGATTTCCTTCCTCTACACTGTGTGCATTCAATCTGGACAAAACCTCTCATGTCCTTACTCATTTCCCTGTCTTTCTTTTAATTAGTCAGAGTGTGTTTGGACATTCAGGCAAAAGTGTAGTTGTACAAATCAGAATCTATCTTTTACCCTGGCAGAGATTTAGAAGCAGTGCAAGATTAAGTGCCAACTCCTACAATTTACACCCTACATCTCTTGCATTTCTTATGTCTTTTAACTCTCATCAAGACCTAACCCTAAAAAGAATCCCAACCCTCATCACAGCCTACTTCTGATTGGCCTCTTGCCAAGATTTCTAAATTCTTATGTGTCATTATACATGTCTCTGTAGCAGCTTTTCTTATATATTTGTCTGTCATGTTAACTTCGGTCTGTGAAATTTTCTGTTCCCATTTTCTATCTCTGTCGACAAGACTTGATTGATAACAAACTCAATTCAATAAACTTTTGCAAACATCAATTGTCATCTAGCAACAGGCTCTCTTGCAACTGCAAAATTCACACAGTGGTAAGATACACATTTTTGTAGTAAGCTGGCAATAAAAGACAATGTTCATTTTCTTCCTCTTGTTTGCCATGTTCCTTCAAGAAGTGGGCAATCGTGGCCCTCCACAATTTCCTATTTTTGTAGCTCTTAGAGAAAGATTTGTCTTTTCACCATCTTCCCACTTCCTGTTCTGCCATCCACTTACATTAGCTTGTTAAGTAGGTTACTCACTGCTTTCATCTGACCCTCTTGCCTTCAATATGTCTTGTGACTGTCAAATTCACCACACCTTCTTTCCCCATTATATTTCCTAGAAATTTTAACTGTCTCTTTCTGATTGAAAGTATACGTGAGCTTTTTAATTCAATTTTCCTTAAAACTACCTCATTACTCATATGGTCAGTCAATGATTTTCTCAGCATCCTTCTGTAGAACCACATTTCTGTTACCTCAAGTCTCTTCTTCATCTGTGAGATGATTGTTTCTCACCCATACAAGAGGATTGATATTACATAACAATTCAGCACACTTTTCTTTGTTTCTAATGGAATTTTCCTGTTTCTTAATATTTTGCTTAGCTTTTGGAAGGCATATTTTATTACTCCATTGCCCCCTTGGATTTTGGTATCATTTCCACTTAAGTAATCATCAAGGTAGGTAGAGACAAATGGTAAATTTCATACAACTAATGAATGTTGTGATGTATGCAAGGTGTGACATCTGATGATGACTTAAGAAAGCTGAAAGCTTAGACCATATTTTTTCCCAAATAAACTTCGGACAATTCCTGACAGAATTTCCTCATTGTCTGAGAAGGATTGTTTGCTATTTTGAAAAATCAATCAGTAAAATTAATTGACACAAAATATTTGTTGTCTTTAATAATATTTATCTTAAAGGATATTTGTTGCCTAAATACACAATATATATATATATATATATATATATAATCAGTTAATAATAAAAGTGAAACATTAGATTGCTAAACATTTCCTATTTATTCTTTATCTTATCATTCTGTTGGATTCTGATCCATATTTGATTTGTATTTGATCCCATTTTATATATATATATATATACACACGCACTAACCACCCATAAGATTTTACAGTTACATGTTATCAGGTTAATTTAAAATAATTTATATCATTTAATTATTTTAATAAAATTTTGTTAGATAGGTATTACTGCTAAAAAGCTCCTTCAAAAAATTATGTTGTATCTTATACCAAAATTAGATTAAAACCTAAATGCTCCTCTTTAATGTCCTTGTAACCTGATGACCCAAGAACAAAATATAAGTAATTTTATTATAATTATAAATTAAAATAGTGTTAAAATATTTCACTAAATGTTAATGTTTCACTAAAGCCCACCGTTCCATTTTTTCGAGATGTGGTGGACTCTGATAGAAAATAACTGAAAATTAATACCAATTTCATATAAACTTACATTTAGTACTGCTATTTTTTATTTTAATTTTTGTAATTATTATTGGATTTTAAAGCAGACATTCTTCTTCTTATATGTCCTGTATTCCTTTAGAATTTGGGAGATCATGGCTCTCCACAAGCTTCAATAGGATTAGATAAGTTCACCTATTGCCAAGTTGACACTCCTTCCCAGGCTTTTGAACAGGTGTAGAGCTTTATCCCTTGTTTCCTGTGTAGGACTGGGTTTTTACTTCCTTCTCCTAAAGTATTCTTATTCTGTTTCACTCTTAATAACCATATGTGTCTTAGTGGCATTATTGCCTTACTTGGGATGAAATGATTAAAAAAAGCTTCCTGTCTCTCGTATCTCTTAATAGTCTTTATTTTGTTATCTCTCCCAATTCCTGCTCCGCCAACTATTTATACAAGCTCATAATGTAGGTTATGTATTGCTTTCCTTTGTCTCTTTTGCCTTCACTATTTCTTGTGAGTGTTAAATTTTCTAAGCTTTCTTTCTTCAGTGCCTTATTTTTCTCTTTCTAATTCTAAGTGCTCTTTCTGTTTCCATTTTCTTTAAAACTTTGTCATTGTTCACATGTTCAGTTCATAATGGATTCAAATAATTGAGTATAAGTATCGATAAATCCTCAGTTGAATATTATTTAATTTTTCTCCCTCAATATTTCTTTACTAAATTATGTTTTATTTCTTGTATATGAGTTTATTCTAAACGTTTAAAAATCCATCTAATTCTTAAAAACAAAATTGTCATCCATCTTTTTTTTCTTCTTTTCTCTAGGTAAGTACCTTTTACCTGCCACATCAGAAGAGGGTGAGATATTATTTTTAATATATATAATTATTTTTCCTGTATAATATTTTTTGTTTTATATTTTATGTAAATTGTTGTTATTATTGCTATTGTTGTGATTTCCTTTTTATTTTTATACCTATTTTTTAAAAATATTACTAAGCTTCACTTAGTATTATACATGACTGAATAGAATGATATTCGCCCTGAACAAGACCCAAGAGCCACTCGAGATAGAGTGTTACAGAATAAGAGGTACAGTTTTTGGGGATATGCAGAGAAGATAACTGGTAACCCTAGACTTGAATATGTTAAGATTGTAGCAGACAAGGAAGCATTCTCTTGAGAGTGAGTTCCACAAAGCAGTGGTTCAATGGAAGAAGAAGCTCTAGTAAAACTTACATTTCAGCAATGGAATATGAAGGGAATGAGGGCGGTTTGCTAAAATGTATGTAGCACAACAGTTTTTAGCCATGAAGATGGTACAACTAAGGAATATAGTTCATATGAAGTCTTTACATGGAAAAAGCGACTGAGCAGTTTAGAGACACACTGTTTCCGCTATGAGAAAGGGATTGCAGAGTGGAAAATAATTTTAAACATTTATAAGCTTTCCTTCCTAGATTTTCTTCTCCCTCTTTCACCTTTCTTATCTTTCCTTTATAGGCCTTCCTTAAAAGATTTTCTTCTCACTCTTTCATTTTTCTTCTTTCCTTTATAAGCCTTCCTTTCTAGATTTTCTTCCCCCTCTTTCATTTTCCTTCTCTTTCCTTTATAAGTCTTCCTTTCTGGATTTTCTTCTCCCTCTTTCACCTTTCTTATCTTTCCTTTATAAGTCTTCCTTTCTAGATTTTCTTCTCCCTCTTTTCTTTTTCATCTTTCCTTTATAAGTCTTCCTTTCTAGATTTTCCTCTCCTTCTTTTATTTTTCTTCTCTTTCCTTTATAAGTCTTCCTTTCTAGATTTTCTTCTCCCTCTTTTATCTTTCTTCTCTTTCCTTTATAAGTCTTCCTTCCTAGATTTTCTTCTCCCTCTTTCATTTTTCTTCTTTCCTTTATAAGTCTTCCTTTCTAGATTTTCTTTTCCCTCTTTCATTTTTCTTCTCTTTCTTTTAAAAGCCTTTTAAGATTTTCTTTATCTTTTTTCTCTTTTTCACTTTCTCTTCATATTTTTCATTTTTTAACTATTTTTCTTCTTCTCATTTTCTTTCCAACTTTTTTAATTCTTTTTTTTATCTTTTATTTCTTTTCCTTCCATTTTCTCATTTTTCTTCCTTCTTTTGTAACCAAAACACACCAGAGTTAGATATATCTTTGAGACTTTCCCAATAGACATCATACTATCAAACACTCTTGTTGCTTGCATTATTTAAAGCATTCAGATTTCACTTCTTTTTCAACTTTACTGAAAAAGTATTTGTCTGTGATGCAACAATATCACTAAAAGTTTTCTTTATGATATACCATATCTTGTTTTTAAGGAATATCTTAGTAAAGTCTTATACATTTAGATTCCTTGCTTCCAAATTACTTACAGAGTCTTTTCTATCTACAGCTTTTTTTAAAAAAATCATTTCACCCCAAGTAAGGCAATAAAGCCACTAAGATGTAAAAAAAGTATTCAAGTGAGTATTTAAATGTATTTAAATACTAAGATGTAAAATATTTGTAAAAAGATGTTAAAATATTTTAAAGTATTTGTAAAAGTATTTAAATATTAAAGAGTATTTGTAAAAAGATGTACATAAATTTGAAAGTATTTTTAAAGTATTTGAATCCTAAGGTGTAAAGTATTTATAAAAAATATTTTAAAGGTATTTAAATACTAAGATGTAAAAATATTTGTGAATAGAATTGAACCTTTAGAAAGTATTTAAATACTAAGATGTAAAAGTATTTGCAAAAAAATGTAAACATTTAAAATGTATTTAAATGCTAACATACAAACGGATTTGTAAAAATATGTACGTCTGTATTTGTGTGTGAATATATTTATAAATGTAAGTGTGTGTATGTGTGTGTATGTGTGTATATGTATTTATAAATATATTTGTGTGTGTTTATTTATAAATGTACTTGTGTGTGAATATATGCATTTATGAATGTACTTGTGTGTGTGAGTATATATATTCATAAATATACTTGTGTATATGTCAGTATATGTCCTTATAAATGTACATGTGTATGTATGTGTATATTTTTTATAAATGTACTTCTGTGTAAGTATATGCATTTATAATGTAATTTTGTGTGTGTGAGTATATGTATTTATAAATGTACTTGTGTATGTGTATACATATATATATATATATATATATATATATATAAACACATACATGCATAAACATATGTATGTATATATATGTGCATACACATACAAACAGAAGAAAATGGAAGCTTTTTAGCTTTTAATTCAATAGGCACTTATCACATTAGTGTTACCGTGGTAACCAAAGGTGCTACTTCAGATTAATATCAACCAAAGTTATACCAATTACGATTTTCACACTAAAAACCAGGCTGAAGTCTAAAAGAGTTACATTTCCTTAGATTTGAATCCATTAATGTATTTCCCAAGGAGAAGGCTGTTGCCTATGGCAGAATTTTGAATCTGTGTTCATCTTATTTAAAATGTACAGCCTTGTGTTAATCTGACAGCATGATTCTTGTTTCTATACAAGTTACTCTGGCAAAATAACGGGCATATTTTTAGTACATATTTTTTTTTCAATTCATTCTAACACAACTTTTTGGTAGTGCTCAAAAGTCTTATCTAAAAAGATATTACACCTAAACAGACACCATATGCATTAGATATTAGCAGCAGGTCATGAGAAACCTTTACTTTATTCTCAGGGGGCATTTATCTCTAATCCCCTAGTGATAGGGTTAACAGTAATTTTTTTCTTTTTCTTATTCTTTGTTCACTGGTGCCTCGACAGCATGAATTTAAGCATGCTACTGGATTGGCATACCAGTCCCAACCTTTTACTCCAACAGCTTCTTCTTTCGCACTTCCTGACAGTGGAACTCCCTTCCTCTTACTTGCTTTCCCAATAACCACAATCTTCAAAAATTTAAACGTCAATTGACATCTTCTGATGCCTTGATCTTGATCCCCATCCGTCTCTTTATCCTTTCTTCAAACACTCCTCTTTACTCTTACTTTTCACTTTGCATACTGGTGGCATTCCCACCTTGCTTGGGGTGAAATGCTTAAAAAAAAAGCCTTAGAATGTCTCTTCAGGATTTTGGTAATCATAGCTCTTCCTATCCTTTGTAATTCTTAGTAGGGTTTGTCTTTTAATATTAGCATTTAAAAAATAATAAAATGCAAAAATAAATATATATCAGGTGCTTTGACATAGACAGTATTTTAGGAGTGTCCCTTTTTGCTAGAATAGAAGACTAAATTTGTCTTCTTAGTCTCAATTTATGACTGCTACTGAGCTAAGCTATATCATTTGTCTAAAAATCATTAATGCCCTTAATTTTCAAAATAAACCAGAAAACCTTTTGTTTTGTTCAAAACATTAGCTTCTAAAATTTTTATGTAATTCTTATGCCTGACTTCTGTAGGTATAATTCCAAAAAAACGATATGAAAAGCAAACAAAATTGTATATTTAATATCAATGCAAAAAAATGTTTCACGATCACAAGTCCCATATACCATTAGAGTTGTAAGGACACTCCATGTAATAAAGTCATAGCAACAGTGGAGAGTCTTTGGCAAGCCAGTTCGATGGATCCCAAACATCTCCAGGCTGGTATCAATTCAGTTTTTTGTTAAGATTGGTGGCCAAGTAAAGCTATAGGACCTAGTCTTTCTTGCTATTTACCCAGAGATAGATGGAGAATAGAAGGATTCATACCTTTCTCAAGAGTATTTGCATGCAGGTAGTGCCAAATTTACCTATAGGCTTAGCAAGCTGAAGCCTAGGGCTTCAAAATCTAAGAGGCCTCCAGCCAAGGTGCATAATATTTTTGACACAGTCATGGAACTTTCTTACATTGTAGACTCTAAATAGCTTCAGTAATTTGAAATACTCATCATCGTCATCCTTGGCTTTACTGAAATTGTTTAATTTAACACTCTTCCATTTTCCTCTATTTGTGGGAATGAGAGATTTAGAGGAGCCTCACAAGTGAAATAGTCCAGGACCTTTCTTTATCTAAAATCCAGCCCTGAATGTAGGTGAATGTAATGAATTTGACTAGAATTTGAACTTATCTCTCATTTGAAATTAAACTATCACACAGTTTACACAGTTCTTGGTTGGCTCCTGAGCAGACCAAGCATAGTAATACATACAATAGGAGAACCAGTAATAAGCAGTACCAGAGAAAAGTGATAATAACAACAAAAATTGCAATATGAGCTCTTGTAAAAACATGTAATGATAACAGCAAAAATTGCAATATGAGCGCTGGTAAAAAATGTTTGCTGAAGAGATTAGGTTTATAATACCCAGAAATTTATACACAGATGTCCTCAAGGACACATGGCACAGTGGATAAAGGCGTTAGTTAGATCCAGTGACAGGACCCAAGGCAGTGACTGGTTAAGGCAGTAGAGAAATTGTAGAGGGGAATTAACAGGAGATAACTCATAACTGACATCCATTAGACATGGCACGTGGAACTAGAACAGTTTACCCCAGTGAGCCAAATAAAGGGTTCAGTTCAACATTCCAACCACCTGAAGAAGGCTGGAGCGTACAATGGCCGAAATGTTGTGATAAATATGGCGATAAAGATGAGGACAATAGTCCGAATAATGTAAATAGTGCACACAGTTTACAGTTAGATAATATATCTAAAAAAAAAATGTTCATTTTATGAGAGGATCATATAAAGAATATAGAATCAGTAATTTTTAAAGCTTAATATCTGATTTAGCATGTCCACTTTTAACATCTGATTTATACCTCCCTTTCCCTTTCTTATTTTGTAGTACCCCACTTGTTTGATATAAACAGTAAGCATTAGGGTTCCTCTTGACCTTTTCATTTAATTATAATGTACAGATGCTGTCTGGGAATGGAGCAAAGCCATAGAACCAATGTAAATTACACTGAGAATTGGTTGTCTTCATTTAAAAGGACTTGCAGCTGAACTAAGACTATAAGCATCCTACTATTGAAGTAACTATGTTCAGGTTTGATGTTCTATACATGTTTCTTGCAGTCAACTTATTTTCTATCCTGGTAAAATTTACTTAATGGACAAATTTGAATATACTACCTATAATTGTAATTTAAGTTTTTTAAGTTTCCTTAAAATTTCCTTGTTGTTCCATCCATGGTAGTCTTAGAATGATTGGCCATTCCAATTACTTTCAAAGAATCTACAGGGTGCCCAGTCAAAAAGCAGTAAATTCAGAAAGAAGTTTATTTTGCTATCATGACTCATGCACAAACTGAACAATCATCATAAATGAACCAATCAAAGTTAAGTTATTGCACAAGAATCGAATGATTATTCAAGATTGTGAATATTCAAGAAATTTATTCAAGGTTACTCAAGGTCAGTTATTCCTGAAAGATAAAACAGTGATAATATAATTTACCGCTTTTTTACAGGACATCCAGTAATAGGCATTTTTAAAGATTTTTGTTGCGCTATTGTAAATGGCATGTTTTTTTTTGTCTTTTTTATACTAAGGTTCATCCTGTACAAGGCCAATAGCCCACTTGAGGTAGAGGATTACATTGGGAGGCACTTTGTATGAATAGAAGGGAAGTTAATGGTTAATCCTAGACTTGAACAGTTTAAGATTGTTGTGATCAGGGAAATATCCTCTTGGTAGTCAGTAGCACAGAGCAGTGGTTCATGGGAAGAGGCTGTTCAAGTGGAACTTACTCCTGACTGATGGAATATAGAGGGAATATGGGTGGGGTTTGCTACAATGGAATGGCAGGTCTTTACCATGAAGGTTAGGCCTGGCAGAATGTAAACACTCTAAAGATTACAATTTCTAAACTCATTAAGTCCAAATGAAAAGCACAAGGAAAAATTTAAAAAGTAATTTATCAGTCATTTTTAATGAAATATGTATT